TGGAATGAGAAGAGAGGAGCATTTCAAGATGTATTTTTTGGAATCTGCACATTGGAAAACAAGCAATTACTCAGTTTGCTGATCAATGAATTGTGGGAAATATGAAGCAAGTCTGGAAGGTCTGAGGACTGGTCTTCCCACTTCTTTCTCAATGCGCCTTGGCAGCTTGCACTCAGAGCTACCAGCAAGCATCCCTGGATTCAAGCATTGTCTAATTCTCTAGTAGGGATGGAGGAAGGGCTGTGCATAGCTAAGCAGAGGTGTTGCTACTGGTTCAAGAGCAGACATGAGCACAGCCAAACTGGTTTCCTTACCAGCTGATGGTTATAACTCATTTTAGGGGATACAGATATTCAAGGTACCCAGAGACCAGAGATTGAATGTTTGACTAGCTACAGGTTAATGTTTCTATAGGAGGTGTGTGTGTGTGTGTGTGTGTGTGTGTGTGTGTGTGTAGGAGCTGCCTCTGCTGACTCCCGCTAAGGGAGAGGGTCATAGCATGGTGGTATTCCTGTGGGTGTTCCTACTCTGCTGTCTTTCTTAAGACAGTGACGGGAAAGAATTCCCACTTCCCATCCCAGAAGAGCCTGTCTTCTCTGCCTTCTCAGAACCCCTGTCTTGGGAGAAGAGTTTCTCCCAGGAAAGGGCATAGACATGCCCTATCCTCCCTTCCAGGCCCATAGTTCCTCCTTGCTAGGTGTTTGGGCAGTTCTGTCACTGTCTGCTTATCCTGTGAGGAGTAACTTAGCCCTTTAAACTCTGAAGCATGTTTAGCAACCATTTAGCCTCAGGGCTTAGGTAATAATATACTCCCTTTACTCACTCTTTCTTTCTTTCTTTCTTTCTTTCTTTCTTTCTTTCTTTCTTTCTTTCTTTCTTTTCTTTTCCTTTCTTGTTTTCTTTCTTTCTTTCTCTCTCTCTCTCCCCTCCCTCCCTCCCTCTTTCTTTCTTTTTTCTTTCTTTCTTTCTTTCATTCAAATTTGTTTTGTTTTGTTTTTTTGAGACAGGGTTTCTCTGTAACAGTGCTGGCTGTCCTGGAACTGGCTCTACAGACCAGGCTGGTCTCAAACTCACAGAGATCCACCTGCTTCCTGAATGCTAGGATTAAAGGTGTGTGCCACCACTGACCAGCTCGCTCGCTCGCGCGCTCTCTCTCTCTCTTCTTCTTCACTTCCCCTTCTCTCCCTCCCTCCTCACAGAGATCCACCTGCTTCCCGAGAGCTGGGATTAAAGGCATGTGCCACCACCGCCCAGCATTTATTTATTTATTTATTTATTTATTTATTTATTTATCTATCTATTTATTGTCAGCATCCCATGTAGCTTAGGCTGGACTTGAACTTTTGATCTTTCTGCTTCTATCCCCTCTCAAGTGCTGGGATTATGAGGGCATAACATCTTGCCTGGCTTTAGTCTCTGTTTAAAAGGTGTGCATTTTAGGGGTTGGTAAGATGGTTCAGTATGTAAAGGTGCTTGCTGTCTGGCCTGATGACTTGTTTGATCTCTAGGACTCACATGGTAGAAGGAGCAAACTGATTAGTGCTAGTGGTCTGCTGACCTGCCCACCTACACTAATGCACACACATACATGCACATACATGACCTCTTTTTTTCTGTTCATTACAGGCCTGTCTCTATCATTATGTCCTACAAGGGTAGAGGCTGGTTGCTTTTATGTAAATAGAAACATAGTCCCAGTCTTGAAGAGAACAGTGGATAAGAAACTATCTTTTCTCCCTGACAATAGACAATAGCCACTCTTGGCACTGTTTGTCTCATGGTAGCTGCTGTACCACTGCTGAGGGCATTGTACAGGGCCTCTTGCTGTCACCCTGTAGGATGAGTTCAAGGGGGCCGTCCTGCCTAGGCAGCAGAGCTAGTGTTGTGAGGTAGAAAGGTTAATGTGGCCATTCCAACAGTTCTGGTTTTCACAGGCCAGCTAAGTGAACTTTTTGCTTGTTCTATTTTGTTTCACCTTATTTATTTTTGAGACAGAGTATCATAATTATCCCAGACTGGCTTCAAACCTATGCACTTCCTGCCTCAGCTTCCCAAGACCCAGGATTACAGATGTGTATTACTAAGCCTAGTTCCAGCTAAGAGGACTTGAAAAAAATCTACAGGAATATGAGAGGTGAGGAGAATTAGAAGGTTAGCAGGCACTATCTGGCTGGGTCTGAGTCAGACTGTTTGGACTGGGGATGTGGGCTTGGGCAGGTCCTTTCAGGTATTTGATCAGGCATTTTCGATCTTGATCCACAAAACAAGGTCAATGGTCCCTTCCTTCATATAAGATATCGTGAGGTCTGTTTTTCTCCCTTAAGAAGAGATTTTACACCACAGACACTTACACTTTGTTATAGATTAGAAAAGAAACTGGACAAGGACTAGGATCTGGGACTTTCCAGATGCCATGAGTGAGGCTACAGTTTGAATGCACACCAGTTCAAATTGTTTAGAGAACAATGCCAAGTAAAGAAAATACAAAAGAATGTAGCAAATATTTTAAAACTGGAAGAAAGAACTCTTAAAACTCAGGCTGCCCAGAAGGAACTGCACTCCTGTGACCAATGGACCATCAAAGAAGGTCCTAAGGAAGGACTGAAGGACAACCCACCAAGGGGTAAAGCTGGAAAGAGTTAAAAGGGGGGGGGATTGGGGTTTCTGTGCCTCCCACCCCCACCCCAGCTAATCTGTCACCTAATGAAGAAGGGGCTGACACAAGTGAGCTAGCTGGCAGTTTACTTACAGCAAACTGATTAAGAATGTTCAACCAACAGCAGACTGTAGACCTTTCCAGAGAAAATAAATAGAGTGTAGACTGTATGCAAATGTGTTTGTCACTTTGACAGCACGTCTCAATTAAGGCATCTCATGGCTGTGGGTAGGCTCTGCGGCTGCAGCTGGAAGGGAGAGCCCACTGCATGGCTGATACTAGGGGCTTGACCTTAATCCGCATGCATGCATTAAAAAAAAATCCTGCCTTCCTGTACACTTGCATAATGCTAGCAGCCACATGAGGGAAGTGACAAACGGGGAAAGCCACTTACATCCTCTTCAGTGTGCAGACCTGTGAAGGCACAGACAGTTCTTATTTCAACAGTTTGGGGTGGCTTTTTTTAATTGTTTATCCCCCTTCCGTGTGAGCACACACACTCTTATTCTTACATTTAGCTGGAAATGACATTAAAGCCTCTCTCTACTTCTTGCTAAAATGGAAAGAAGGTCTCTCTGTTTCAAATAGGACCTCCTTTTCTGTGTGTTTTGAAAATGGAATGTTTAACACCATGAAATCCCTCTCCCCCGCCCCTCTTTCTCTGCAAAGGGCTCCCGACTCCATCAAGGGCTCCTTTCATGGGCAGGTTCCTATGCGCAGGAATGAGGACAAAGGGAAGCAGGAAGCTGACTCTGGAACGCCATGCTGGTGACAACCAGAGCTGTGCTTTCAGCAAACATAGCCAGCAACTGGGGTAAGAATTGCTCCAACAGACCCTGAGCCCCACAGGAGGCAGGGTTTCAGGGTGTGGACAGAGAAAACGCTGGTTAGTGCTGCTGCTTTACAGTACCTGTCAGTTGCTAGAATAGCCGCTTTAAATGTGGAAGTAGAAAAGGGGTGGATTTCCCCAATTAATGAGGTGTGGGCATACTACCCAAAAAGACTGATTAGAAAAGGATGATTTTCATGCTTCAGCCAGCTGTGCTTTATAACAATGACCCACAGTGAAAGGCTTGCTGGTTCTCTTTTCCCTTTTTTATACTGTTACTTATTTTTTCTATGTGTGTTTGCTTACATATGTGGGATGTGTGCATGCAATGGCCCACATGTGAAGGTCAGATGGCAAATTGGGAGAGAGACTCGGTTTTCTTCTACCACACAGTAGCTGGGGACTGAACTTAAACTGCCAGGTTTGGCTGCAGGCATCGTTACCTGCTAAGCCATCTCAAGGGTCTGGTTCTCTTTATTTTTAAATAGTTCAATGCCTGGTACACACTAAAAGCACTTAAGAAATGTCTCTCAAAACAAGAAATGTTTAAATGCAAGATTCTGGGCCCTTTCTGAGGTGAACTAGCAATCCTACTTACAGTAAATAAAAGTCAAAAGACTAGCTTTATCATACCTCATCTAGAGAATGGCTAAAGGATCCGGTGACTTAAGCTTAGCAGTACTGGCTGAGCAAGAGTACTAGGTCCCTGGTTACAGTCCCAGCGCCAGAAAATCAATCAATCAGATAAACAAACAGCAGCAACAAGAAACATTGCAAACTCTTGTTACAACCATACCTTGCTAACAGAGCCATGTTTCAGATACCAAATCAAACCAAAAAGCACCAAACTAAACCACATACAGCACACATAATACGTTTATCTTTGATAAGTAGAGCAGTTGATTGAAGAGAAGTAGGGAAGGGTATATTATCTTTTTAATTGAAACGAGAACCACAGGCAGGAAATGGATGAAAATTTCAATTTCTGGAAGAGTGTATTACTTAAGAGGAAAGAAATAAAATCAAATGAATAGACAATTTTTTAAGTGCTCGCACCCTTGTAAGCAGTTGGGTACAGAGTTGGATCTCTAGACCTACAGCAAGGATGTTTACTCCAAGAAGCACAACTCCCAATATTGATTTTCAGGAAGTACATTAATAAAGAACTCCGAATTGATTTTTTTTAAGCCTTTGCTTGTTGCCTTTTATTTGAAGATGCAAAGAAGGGTCTGGGATGCCAAAGTGTTTTAATGAGATGCTTAGCTAACCGGCACCATAAATGCAGTGCCTCAGAGTGGGGGAGGCAGCAGGAACATTTAATGACTCTATCAACAGTGGAGCTAGTGATGACCAATGCCATGCTGTCCCCACCCAGAGTCAAACACTTGATGGTACATAAAGCATGGTGTTGCTTTGCTGAAGGAGAGCTGCAGTGTGAACCCATGGCTGCTCATGCTTCAGCTTTTGACAAAACCAAAAACTCAAACCAGCCACCTGGAAGTGCACAGCACATACCTGCCCGAAGTGGACTGTGATAGGCCTCCGGTCTTCTCGAAGTCTGGGGTCCTTGGCCTCTTCCAGTGTGGATGGCAGGGTCTTTGGCAGGGACTCTTCTGCAGAGGAGACACAGCCATTCTCGGCGATGTCCTGCAGGGAGAAGAAAGGTCTGGGGTTGGCACTGGGGTCCTGGCCCTTTGTCCTCTTACCTCATCCCCACAAGCCATGAGGCCTGCTAAGAACTCCCTCCATGTTTTCTAAGCCTGACCCATGGGAGAGGTGGAGGAAATAGACACTAACTTGGCCCTTTGACTTTGCTGCACCAAAGCAGCCAAAATCATCCACATGAAACTATAAACATAATAATTCACAGAGGTGAAAAAAAAGTATTTCATTCTATATTCTTCCATGGCTATTTTCATTTTCACATGTTCACTTTGTCTATATGCAGATATTTAAAAATTACTTGTAATCACAGCTCATGCATAATTTTATATCCTATTTTTTCTCTAATATAAGCATTACCATGGTGCTTCAAAGCCATTATAATAATAATTTCAATAGATGCATAATATTTTCACTGATCAGACATTTAATGATTTAATAACTCATCCCACAACTATTGGGTGTTTTTTTTTTATTTCTCCTTTCTAAATGCTAGCAATAAAATGTTCTTTCCCTTTAAATTATTGCTTCTGTGGAAATCCCTAGGAATGAAAACATGAGGTCAAACATATAAACACTTTTTAAGGCTTTTTATTCATTCTACTAAACTGCTTTCCAATTTACAGCAACTCCCTGAAATGGGTGTATTATCAGCTTCACAGTACTTGTTAGCCTTATCATTTAAAAATGGATTGCTAATTTAATAGGTGAAAAATTAGACCTCATTGTTGTTTTAATTTGCACTACTTTAATTATTTGCAACTGTGGACTTTTTCTCCGCTTACTGATGGGTGCTACAGACCACATTCCTGCCTTCTTCCTCCTCCTCGTATTTCTGGAAGGACCTAAGGGGTCTCCCTGACCTGTAGAATATCTACAGGAGGAAGGAAAGCTTTTAAAACCTAAACATTTATATTTCATTTGTGTGTCTGTGGAATGAAGTCAAATGGTAAGGACAAGGGTAGACCACAGCTTTTTGGCTGGGGCTGTCAGGGAGCACTAGTGTGATCCAAGGCTTCTTTGGCTGCAGCTGCCAGGGAATACTGGTGTGAGCTAGTCAAAACTTGGATGTGCTCCCCTTCTGCAATAAGCATTATGGGTTTTACTGAGGTCAAGAAAGTTACTTAGGACAAGCCAGAAAATAAAGGTACAAATAAATAACACTCAAATAATTTTTTTCACCATCTAAAAATAATTCACAGGCTGAATTAAAGAACATCCAATTCTTTCCATTGTAGAAACAATTGTATGCTTTGGTCAACAGAATATTCCTCAAATTCTGCATATAAGAGATTGCTGATCATTGGTCACTCTTTTTTAACTGAACCTAGAAAATCATGAGTCAGAGGGAAAGTGGTTACTTAGGATAATTATGTTTTAAAGAGGAAACAAAGGTAACACTTCTGAGCCTCAGTTTCCTTATCCATAAATGAGGGTATAGGAGCTAGGGATGAAAGGGGATAGGTAATATAATATAAATGCCTAGAACTTTTTAGCTACCTAATAGACAATTGGAATGAAACAGATAGCTTCTATACATGTGTGTATACGTGTGTGTGTGTGTGAACAGTCTTATACATCAACTACCAGCCTCCTGCTTCTTTTCCTAAGGAATTAGCTGCTTTTCGGGCAGCCCTGTGCTTGGTCAGGGATACAGGAAGGTGATGACCTTTTGACCTTACAAACAGGGCTTGGGTCAGGTGGCCCACAGTGGATTGGCCAGTCTCAGCTAAGCTAAGGCTCAGTGATGAAAGGGGTTGCCGACAGCCAATTAGAAATGGATTGTTTGGAAAGGGGCTGCCCTAAGGTGCCTGGGTCAAATGGAACAAAGCAGGGGAGGGGTTCCTTCCATGTCAGAGAGCAACAAAAGGGCAAAAGGGGCATTTTGGGAGTGTATGGGTGCATCTAGGGGATTAATACAGGGCGAATGAGGCCAAATCATAACAAATCCATTTTTGGTTCAGGAAAATACCCCATCATATCGTGTGTTCGCGCGCGCGCGCGCGTGTGTGTGTGTGTGTGTGTGTGTGTGTGTGTGTGTGAAAAGAAATGGAGCTACAAGGTCACATGGTAGGAAAATGTATTAACTAGGAAACTATAAAATATCTTTAAAAGAAAACATGATAGTTTGGGGGGAAAGTGTCTTAGTTTAAGGGTCAAGTAAAAACTGCTATTTTCTAACTTTATCTGTTTGTTCCACCAATTAGCTTCCCTAATCTTTCAGATTCATTCAACCTCTGCAACAGTTTCTTTGTTTTTACAACAGGGAGGTTCTTAGTTGTTTGGTAGAGGTTTATGGAAGATGCTTTAAATGAGATGAGCTAGAAGGAGGCTTTGAGAGACCACAGTGCACAGGACACAAAACTCCCTTCCCTGTGTGGGGCACCTAACCCTGGTGGCTACTCTTCTAGACCACTGACTTCCATTTTAATGACGTTCATGAAGTAAATAGGATTATCTTTTCTTTATGATGAAGCAATGGGATTTAGACAGGAAAACCTCTTCTAGATCACAGAGACAAAGTGGAGGACCCTAAAATATGGGCTTGTGATGCTGGGCCATCAGATATGGCTTCCTCTTCCTCCTGGCTAAACTGCTCACAGGCTGCCATGCCCTATGCTATCTACTGTGGGACTCTCCAGACTGGGAGTTCCCTGGGATCTGGGTGTTCTAGGACAGCTCCTCCACAAATCTCTGTTAAGTTGAGCTAGCATCTGAAAGGTAAATGTGCCTGCAAGCCACATTTTGTTTAGTTAGAACATCCAGAAAGGCCTGGGTTTCTGTACTTTCTCATGGCTTCCCTTTGAGCTTTTGGCGTCTTCACTATTTCCTCCATCTGGGGAAGGACAACTGCTTCCTCCGAGGATGCTACAGGGAGCAGAGTGGGAGGAGCACGGGTCAAGAGAGCAATGAAAACAGTGAGATACCACTCTTTTCCATTGAATAGCAGACATATTGTGTGAGTAGGAGCCAGAGGAACAAGTCTGCATTTCTTGATTAAAGAAACTATGGCCCAAGAACTAACTGATGTCAGCTAAGGGATTGGGATATGGGTACCCTGACACCCTCCTGAGAGGAAGACAAACTGCAAGTTTACATAAAAATGCTGTAAGATGTGAGTGCCCTGTGGCCCACTAATTCTATTTCTAGAAATGTTTTTGAATGAAGAAACTTAGAAGTTAACTCAGGTATCCAGTAACAGAATTAAAGAGTGTATGTGTGCACAATGTGCGTGCACATGTGTAGTATGTGTGTATATGCATGCATGTGTTGTGTGACTGCATGTGTATGTATAGTATGTGTATATATGTGTGTGTATACATGCCCAGTCAATAAAATGTATGGGCTATTTAAAACAAGAACACACAGAAGAATCTTTTTAGAAGGAGGGGCATGTTCAGTGCCCACCACGAGAAAATGCAGTTGGAAGGGATGTAATTTCTCTCTTGACTTGTTGAATTCCCAATAAGCATGCATTTTGTTGGCAAATGGAAAAAAAAAAAAACCTTGACCTTCTAAATGTCATTTTTAAAAAGGGAAATAAGGGAATGCAGGGGTGGGGTGGGCCAACTCCTCCCTGAAGGTTCACACAGGAGGAAGACAGAGCTACAACTCAGGGGCTACCATTGGGTAACCAATTCTTTCCAGGAGCCTCGAGGCTACGGGCAGGGAGAGCTCCACCAAGCCCATCACTAGGCAGAGCACAGGAAGCTGAGGAGAATTCTATTCCTATCACCTTCCCAGAGCTCCCTACCTCTCTGTGGGGAAGATAGGCCTAGCACACAGCCCTCCTCTATGGATGAGCATCAGCCAACAGGCAGGGGCCTGGTGAGCACTGCCTCACCAGGGGAACAGAGTGGGCCATTAAGGCCTTTGCATTCACACCTAGAGTTGGGAGTAGGGTCCAGCACTCACCAAAGAGCTAGAACATCCTTCTCTGCTGGGCAGGCAGAGGTCAGCAAGGGCAGGGTGGCTTTAATCAAAAAAATGTAGCTGTGTCAGAGCCATGTCTGGAAAGATTCCTCTTGTGGCTATGTAAGCAGTTTAAAGGGAGGTGGTCTCACGGCAGCCATCTCTCAGTGTGTGCACACATGGCTATTTGGGCAGACTGTGTATTCTAGGTATGAGGCCAAAAAATGGAGATAATGCAATCCCACTCATGGAATTGCTGCTAAGTTCTACTGTTAACATGTTACCTCTTCTAAGATGGTCCCTAGTTAATGGACGAGGAAAACAGAGAGGGCTGGTAACGCCCTCAGGGCCACACAGTTAATATCCTACACAATCAGACTGAATCTTCTGGTAGGCTTCAGAAGGCCAAATGCCATATCTCCAAGACAGGCCACTGGGGGAAAGCGGGAGGGGTGGCCTATGCAAGAAACATTCTCCTCTTTGAGAACTGTGTTGTACCTGCCTTTTCCTAGCCTACTTCCCATAACAGAAAATGTAAATTAAAATATGAATATTGATATCAAACTAGTAGCCAAATTGGAGTCTCAGTGATCGAGGCTGCAGCATATTTTAATGTGTCTAAAGACAGGGAGCTGACAGTTGTGTGATAAGGTGTGAAAGTGTCTGTTCTGCAAGAGTCTACCTGTTCTCCTCACTCCCCACATGCCTGCTCACGCCTTCAGTGTGCTTGCAAGTGTTTGCCTAGAAACTCAAGCCAACTATGGGTTTGTTCCTCTCAGTCACAGTGATACTAAGCAAGCTCAATTTGTTGTTTAGATCTAGAAACTTTCCAAATGGCTATGAAATGGGCCCATTTGGCTAAAGCATTTTAATACTAAAAAAAATTACAGATTTTATTCTTTAGTATTTTCTTTAATATTTTCTTCTGTGTGTGTCTTAGCGGTACCAACAGATGAAGAGGGTGTGGGTGCAGCAACTGGATTTAAAGTGGCATTCTCTGGACAGCCCGGACCAGGGAAGCAATGCATGTTGATGTTCTTCTGCTGGTGAGGACATACCCCCCAGGGAAGTGCCACTGGTCCCCTTAGGAAGCCATGGCTTAAATCTCTGTCTTGTCTGCTTCCTATCTCTTAGCAGGTAGGACTTCAAAGGAGACCAGTCTACAGCAGAACTTGGCCACTTTGTTCTGTTTATCCAGAGAAATATGTTCTCCATCTTTCTTTCTTTTTTTTCTTTCTTTTTTTTTTTTTTTTTTTTTTGGTCCCTGGGGAAGCAGAGCAGATGTGGAATAAAGCCACACTATAGGATCTATGAACAATCACTTGTCACTGGTCACAGTTACCCTGAAAGCTGTTTCAGAGGCTTTGAAAAATCTATAGCACAAATGAACAAGGGATGGGAAAGGGGATCTGCTCAGTCGCATTAGAGATGATGGACCCTCCACACACCGTGGTGACCTCTCCTCAGGTCAGCCTCACATTCTCTATTTGCAATTCAAACCCAAGGCAAGAGCAAAGAGGGCAAGCTTGGGTTCTTGATTATATGTGCAAGGTCACCATTGCTATGCTGAGTTTGAGGAGGGCAAGGTGACAACCCAGAATGTTGGAAAATTAGTTCTTTGCTGGCAACTGCCTCAATTTCATAGCAGAAACCAAACTTGCGATATCTGTGTTAGGTGCATCCGGGGAGCCATAGCGACAGGTTCCATGTAGTGTGGAAGGGGTGGGTGTAAGGGGGAGAAAAAAGTCAAGGAAATATTTTCCACTACAGCGAGATAGGTCAGGGGAAGCCATATCCTAAATTAGCTCAAGAAAAAGAGCTAGAGATCACCAGAGACTAGGTGCCTATATATACTGAACAATACTGGGGTTTCAATTACAAAACAGCTCTTCCAAGAACAACTGCAAAATATCAAGTCTGAGGAAATCTGTAAGAGAGAAGGGGAAGTGAAAATTGAAAAGGGTGCACTAATAGATCTGTCAACAGTCCAGTGGTGACAAGCCACATTTCTATAAAATGCCTTTACCATTTGTGTCACCTGAGGTGCGCTGACACCCTCTACAGAACATTATCTCCTGAAGCTATTCTTGAAGAGACTGGCGTGGGCTGGGGAGAGAAAAGGGGAGGGGCAAAATTGGCTTTAGAGTCTGCGAAGGAAGGAAAAGGTGGAGTGTGGAAGGAACATGATCTAGACTGTGTAAATGAGCCTTTGGGTAAATACATGAGAGAAGCTGGGCTCTGCTGGCTGCTGCGGACACATGAGTGGTGGGAAAGACTGTGAAGGGCAGTCCCTGAGTCCCTGGCTTCATGGTCAGCAGAAGCAATGAGGCCCATGAGGCCATTTGTCTGGCGCCTGAGGGGGAAACCATGCCTTTCCTATTTCAGGAAATATACTAACCAACCATAGCCTACAATCTAGACACTGGGGAGGGAAAAGCTCCCCCCTGGACACATCTAATTCAGGTCCATACGACTGGGACAGAAGATGAAAAGGTATGACTAGTGACTCAAATAACAACCAGCAAAAGAATCACAGCTGCTAGTGTCTGCAGGATGAACAGACAAACATGGGCTGTGTGAATTTGTGTTACAGGGTTTAGATCACAGGATGAGAGCCTCAGCTGTTAAGAATTCACTGTCAGAGAAGCTAGGAATTTAAATGCTTAGTCAGAGCAAATTATTTTCCAATTAAAAGAAAAGAATCAATTCCTTCGACCCATTTCAAGTTAATGAGGATTTTTCTGATGTTATAAAGTTGAAACTACTTTCAATTAAAATCAAAACAAAATGCCAAGATAGTGGTACATTTAGGGATGCGGGTAAAATGACTTCAGACATCTTTCACCAAAGAAAACACTTTGGGAGGGCACTGGGCAGTAGAGAATGGCAGTGTTCTGACAGTGGAGGCCATCAGAGCTGAGATCTAATCCTATTTCTGCTGGGCTCACACACTGTGGCCTTGGGCAATTACTTCACACACAGCTTTGTGAATTCGGGGTGACAGCTCCTAGCCTGGTCCATCTTTAACAAAGAGTGGCAATCACAGTATCAGAGGTCATATTGCAACAGTACCAAAAAGGTCCCTGCTCTGGTCACCTTGCTGTACTCCCTGTAGACTCAGGTTGGGGAAATTTTAGGCAATTTTTCAGATGGACCACAGAGCTTCTGTTTGCCTGACTGCCTTAAACATAGGCTAGGCTACTCTCTTTAGGTACAGTGTGGTGGGAGAACCACAACATTCTCTTCCTGCTCACTCTTTGTGCATGTTTGTGTAGGGACCATGTGTGTGCCAGGACCAGAGGGGTCCTTTCTCTGGACATGTTTTTATGGTTTAGGTTATGCCGAGACCTATGGCAGAGGGTGGTGGTGGGGAGGACACCTGCAAACCCCAGGCCCAGTGGGGCAGGGCAGGGGACAGTGGTAACTCTGAACTTGCTCGCCTTTGTGTGTTTAAGACCACAAAGAGTCTTAATGTTATTTGGAGAGAGTTTTTTGTCTGTGAATATTTATAACAGTGTGAAACTCCCGGACAGCTGGTAATGCATTTTGAAGTGTGCTAACAACATTGTATCAAACAGCCCTCTATTGATCACATCCTACTTTTTTGTGGCCACGCATTTCATACACGGTGCTTATACATTTTGAATAAGAACTTCAAGTACCTTTTGCTTCAAGCGGTTTTTCACCTCTTTTATTCCCATTTTTGCATGATCTTTTGCCTGCATGAAAAATTAATTTAAGTTAAGATTCCTTTTCTGTTTCCAGCAGGGTCTATGCTTGATTTCAGTCTACCATGAACCACCTTCTCTGATTACTAGAAAAAAAAGAAGGAAAAATGGGATCATCAAGTTGAAAATATAATGGCTGCGAAAACAAATACAAAGGTAAAAGGTTAAAAAAAATCCCTTAAAGGCGCTGCAGATATTCCATTTTTGCATTTTGACAGCAGAGACTTTTTTCTTCTTTTCCTTGCCAGGCCTTTCTTCTGCTCTCCATAATTATTTACCTTGGCAGCGTGGTGACAGGTACCAGTAAAAGAACAGCAGCTTTACCTGCCACAAGACTCAGAACACCCACCATACCTTACCAGAGCAGGGCCTCAGGAGCAGGCTCTCCAGGCTGAAGGGTTGAAACACGACAGCAGCTGCCAGGTTTTTATAGTGCCATTTCCTATATTTCATTTTGGTGGACATCCTGGCCTCCACTTTCTGCCAGTTTTGATTTGTGTATCTTTGCTGGTGGCCACCCATCCACTATAGTAACCAGAGTTTAAGTACAGGAAGCACTGATACAATTAAAAATAAAAATAAAACAAAGCCAACCCATGTGTGTAGCTCAGGGTCGAATGATTAAGGAGGAAAAAAGCCACAAGAACAATGCTCGAGGTTTGTGAGAGATGAAGTGCCGGAGCTGCTGGATCCCCCTCACCTGCTGTGGGCCCCAGTCTCACAGTGTACTTCCTATAGAGCAGTGCTAAAAGAGAGGATGAAGAATTCGGGACAGAACTGAGGGGTCTTCTCATCATGCACATTGTCATGGTTATAAAACAGAGGCCCTCACCAACTGGTCTCCACATTCCCTGTTATGTAACTATACATGTAACCTGACATGGAGAGATTAGAAATGAGGGGTGGTCTCCCACCATGCACATAAAACAGCAATGCCAAGCAATTCTCAGAACACTGAGACTGATAAGAAATGGCATGGCCACCCTTTGATCACTTCTGCAATCTAGATATTGATATACTAAAGAATCAGGTTGTACTGAGTGTGGTGGTACACATTTTTAATCCTAGCACTTGGGAGGCAGAGACAGGAAGATCTCTGAGTTTAAGGCCAGCATGATCTACAGAGTGAGTTCCAGGACAGCCAGGGCTACACAGAAAAAACCCTGTCTTGAAAAAAACAAACAAACCAAAACCAACAACAAGAACAACAAGAACAACAACAACAAAAGAGGTTACATGAAAGAACCCACCCTTGGCTTACAGACTGTGACCAGTACTTACAAACTTGTAGACAGTCTTCATGGCTGGGTTAGCTTTTGTTTTTACAGTATTCAGAATTGCTCCACTTCCTTTCTGTAATAAAAATGTCAATCAGTGATATGGGCAAGAGAGAGAGTGGGCCAGCACCAACAATGAGTGTTTCTCTTTAATCAAGCCAGGCAACATTTCCAGAGTGTGTGAGAAGAGAAGCAAGCCCAGGTGGTCACTGGATGAAGTCAGTTAGGGCTATGGTAGACTCTGTGTGTGTGTGTGTGTGTGTGTGTGTGTAAGCATGTGTGGGGACTGGGGAAGAGGCACGCGATAACTAGTCAAGGGAAGACAGTGGGCTGCTTAGTACCTGCTCCTGTCCAGGCTACCTGAGGTAAGGGTTTCCTTATGGTTATAAGTAGCTCTTTAAAGAATTTCTAGCTACTGTAGCTAGTGTTCAGTCATATTTCATAACTGAACTATCTAGCTAACATCAAGCTACGGAAGAAAACAGAGTCCTGATCAAACAGGACCCGCTGGCATTATGGTTCCTCACTTTCCTTGGGGAGTATGGAAAGAAGATTGGAGAAAGGCTGTCCACTGGTTAGGAGGCAGCTAAGTGCATAGTCCATTTCCAACCGTACCCTGGTAACATGTTGTAAGGCTGTAAGGACCCTGAGCCAGGAGGGTTTAGTTGAAGACCACCAGACTCTGTGTGTAGGTGAGGGACACCAGGGTTCATGTAACATCTGGATGGTGGGAGCTGCACTGGGAGTTTGGAGACCAGAAGACTGGAGAGGGCTCTGGAATAGAAAACCTTTGACCTGGGCCATGCAGGAGGCGAGGGGGGATTAATGTGGAACATAGTAGGAATTGATGTTTTTAGGGGTAGCAAACAATACATAAAGGAGTGCAGAAGTTGGGAGCTATGGGTATGCTCTCAGAGGGCAAGGGGTTCTTGACTTGTGGTGAAAATGAGGTTGGAAGGCCACATGGAGTGGCTATTACAGAGCCTGGAATGCCAGGCCCAGGGGTTCATGCTCTGAAAGGCTTTTAATCAAATGTCGATGATAGTAATTGTTATTTCAACTTTTAGCACAATTGTTGGTAACTGCTTGCCTTAAAGATTTTGAGTTTTAATGAAAAACATTACAGTTTGACCTAGAAAGCATTCTTTGTTGTAGAAGAAGAGGAAAGTTTCACCTACTCATCTATTCCATGCTGCCTTCCAAAATTCCTCAGAACCCCGTTTAAAGGGTCCTTTGGAGTACTGAAACTCCCTTTATCAATCAATCAACAGGTCCTTATTGCTTGCCTCTGATGTGCCAAGTGCTGTGTTTGGCCATCTAAGAACAAGGCTGTCTTTCATGGGGGAGCTGCTTACTCTGGCCAACTGCAGCCACTTCCACGGGACCTGCTTGGCAGCAGCTGTGGTTGGCCCCAGAGCAGGCGAGAACACTTATCACATTATGCTGGAGTTGCCTGTTTACGTGTCTGCCTCCCTAACGAGATGGGGAGCTCCCCCAGGGCAGGACCTGCCCCCCTCTGGATTCCCAGAGGCCAGCTGTCCCTGGCACACAGTAGGCCTTAAGTACATACTCAATTAGAAAGTCATGGAAAAGTAAGGTAAAATTTGGATTCCTTAGAGGCCAAAAGAGCCCTGAGCACCTGGCTTCCAATTCGACAAGACGTTGTTCACAATAGCAGTAAGGAGGTGAAGAAAAGTCTCCCAGGGATATGTTCTTCATTTTCCCAGGAGCCCTTGCTGTGAAAGACACTGCAGGGTAGCAAGGAGGACACATCTTTGGCTTCCCTGTGATCATGACAACTGCCTGGTCATGGAAGGAAATGTTCTAGAACAGTACGTCACTCCGTGGGCCTTGGCAGGCTCTCCTGTCTCTTTGTCTTCCATTAAGGGAGACTGTCTCCTTCTAGTCTCTTCCATAGGATGGTAGCCTGGCATTGAAACAACAGCATCTTCAGTTGAGAGAAAGGCATGTTCTGCATCTTGGGGCAGCTTTGTAGGTGGCCAAGGAGCAGAGGGCTACCAGGAGGCCGAGAGGAAACCGGGTGGCTCTGAATGGGGCACACTTACCCGCACTGTAGACAGCCACTGACGGTACAGCTTATCACTGCCTAGGGGAAGAGGAGGGAGAGAGGCTGCCATTCAAAGAATTCTTTAAATTGCCCTTGTACAGACTGGAAAGTTCACAGTCTAGGAAGGTGAGGAGGCTACTCTCTGCAGCATGTGGCAGTGAGTCAGGACACAGGTTTTCATTCTAAGTTGTTTGTACCAGTGCCCACAGTACAAAGCTCCTGCCTCTCCATCCCATGCTTCCGTTGGCACAGCCTTGCACTCTGACCAAGAGGAACTACCGTCCCCTGCCATCTGTGTCGAAGTGAACAGAACAGGCAGCTAAATGTTAGATCCTCTGGAGTGTCATTCTCTTCTTTCTATTACAATTATTTTTTTTTTTGTTTTAAAGAAAGAGTGTCATGTAGTTCATGCTGGCCTTTTTCTTTCTACGTCACCCAAAATGATCTTGAACTTCTGATCGTCATGGCATAGTGCAAGGTTAGGTGGCATTGAAGCTTGAGCCCAGGACACTATGCATACATCTTCTTCCTCCCTCAGGTCACATTCATATTCTTTGATGTACCATGAGTCACCAGAGCTGACTATCTAGTGTAGGAGTCCTGCTGGACACACAAGCTACCTTTGGTACATTTTCCTGGTGACAGGTTTTGTGGGTGAGTCCTGTTCGTTGCATTCTGAGGGCCAACGAGGTCTCAGCAGGATACTTTTCAGCAATATACAGAGCCTGTCTTCTCTCTGAACCCCTCTGCCATGGTCAGAATTTGACCCAGAGTCTGCTCCTTCTTTAAGCTCTTGAATGGTGGAATAAGAGTCAATGGAGCTCGATTCCAACCACACACAACTCAGTGTCTCTCTGCCTGCACTGGTTTAATTTGCATTTGGCTTAGTCGTTTATCTCTTTTCCTAAGGACCAAAGCTAGTGCTCACACTGTTTGCTCAGCTCTGGGTACCATGTTCGGGGAATGCTTGTTGACAGTCTACATGTCCAGAGACTCTGTACTGCTTTAACAATTGTGGATGTGAAGTTGCCTCTGTGAGCTTGTGCACTGTTGCTCAGGTCATCAGCACAGCCCAGACTGGACAGGTTTAGTAGTAAAATAGTGTCATTATTTTGACTTCATGAAACTACGTGTATGTACTGTCATCTCTGCCATCAAAGATAGAACCAGTGGTGTGTGGGAAGAAGAAGCCAGATTGGGACTCAGGAGATGCTCATTACTGACATGCCCCAGATGCTTCCACTGAAAAATGAGAGGATGGTCCCTCTGAGCCTGGCCACCCAGCAATGATGCATTTTCTTTTCATTTATTTGTTTGTCTGAGAAAGGGTCTCACTGTATTGTTCAGGCTGATCCCAACTCCTGGGCTCAAGTGATCTCCCCTCAGCCTTCCCATGGCTGGGACTACTTATCACTGTGCACAACTTGACGATGCTCATGCTACACAGAAACATGTGTTGAGCATTGACGCTATGATCAGGACTGTCTTGGGGTACTGTGCAATGCTGCTCATAACTCACTTCCTCACTTTAGAAGTTCTGCCAAGTAGTCTGTGGCACTGTCAGTGTAGGAGTGGGAGAACAATGGCTGGAAAATGGACATGACTTGGCCCAGATGTCACAACTAACAATGAGGCAGGGGCCCGATTTGAGTTTAGCTGCCCTACTTCAGAATCTGGTTAAGTGTCCCTTGCATCATGCTGGCCATGACACTCTGCAAGACTTTTCTACCTAGGAGAGTAATGACTCTGGGATCAGAGGCTACACATGGCTAAACTACATGCATTCTGTCACAAAACAATGAGGAATTTCCCAACTCTTCCAAGGTCAAGGTTGAAGTCTGTCTCCCCATGCCCTCTCCTGAAGAAGAAAACAATCTCATCTGTGCCAGGAACGCAATGGGCAGCATCTTACCAGCATACTCGCCCATGTTGATCTCCTCCTCAAAGACATCACTGAAACCTTCGCCAGAATTGAGAAGGTCTAGACGGCCATCAATAAACTGGAAAGAATAAAAAGCAAACACACCATAGCTTGTCTATAAACAGGGGAGCCATCCAACTGGGCACTAAGGTCTATCCTCAAGATCAGCCAAGTTGTTCAAGATGGGAAAGGCCCTTTGAAAACCACAAGTCTCTCGAAAATGCTGGCTGTGTTTTTCTAGCTCAGAAAACTGCAAGGCAAAGACCTGTCAGGAACCTGATGCCCCTTTTACACCAGCCCTGCCCCCGAGTCCTCCCCCCGCCCGTCTCCTCCCTTCCCTCATTTTTAGTGTTGAAGGTGAAGACAGCTACAGAAATACCTGGCACAGGCCAAGAGAGGCTGGGTACCTGTTTGAAGAGCTGCAGCTGTGTGGCATTCTGTAGGAACTGCCTCATGGCTCCAGAGCGGTAGTGGGACACGAAGGCTTCCTCACTGAAGGTGATGGGTTCTTCCTGGGAAATGGAGAAAGAACATAATGGTAAGAGGCAAGCAACATCCCTTCTGCAGGTTTCCACATCTGCCTATTCCTTTATTCCACACTATCACGGTCATTCTAGTTGATGGTCGAGGAAGCTGTTGTAGGAAGAATTAAACCCCAAGTCAGAGAGACTAGAAGGCGAGGCTGACAACCAAGCTCAGCTGGGCAGCCCTATTCACCCCGTCCCTAACACTGATGATCGTAAGAGCAAGTTAGCACTGTGCCTGCCAGTGTGATGATTTCCAAATGTATTCTGCCATGTTTAGGGGTAGAACCCTGAAGCCAGTCAGTGCCTCATGTTGAAGGGGCCCTGATAAAGCAGAAATGAACCTTTCAGAGATGAACAGGGGTGACACTGGGCACACTGGTGCTTGGTGGCCTTTTCTCAGGTACCAACTGCGGAAAATAGTTTTAAATTCATTTATAAGTGATTATTATTTTTGTTGATTTTTTTTTCGAGACAGGGTTTCTCTGTGTAGCCCTGGTTGTCCCGGAACTCATTTTGTAGACCACGCTGGCCTTGAACTCATAGAGATCCACCTGCCTCTGCTTTCTGAGTGCTGGGATTAAAGGTGTGGGTCACCACTGCCAGGCTTTCCCCCACATACACCCCAGCCAGGTTCTTGCTATGTAGTTCAGGCTGGCCTTAAACTTGTGAGCCTCCTATCTCAACTTTCTAAATGTTGGGATTACAGGTGTGTACCACCATGCCTAGCTCCCACTAGCTTGACCTATAGCAAGTTATAATTTACGAAATACTGGCTGATCAAAAATAAAATTTACCACCTGCAAAAGTTTGTGTTTAAGCTATCTGATGAGTAAGATTTGTCCACAGAGTACATTTGAGTCAAGAAAAGGATGCTCTAAGTTTGGTATTGTATAGTCAATGCCTCGCTCTTTCTTTGAACTCATTTACAGCACTTGTCTATGCAGACATGTCTTTAATTTTGGTCTGCATCCCTGATTATGAAAGATCTCACTTTTACATCTCAAGCTGTGTTAGGGCACTCCCTCCTTTCATGGACTTGGTGGCAAACAAAAAGATGTTTGAAGCTCCGCTTTTATCCTGATTTAATGAGTTACGTGTTAAATTTACTGTCTGGCTCCTTTAAGTTCCAAGAATTCCTTTTGCTTCAATCTAGCCAATATTAACTCAGCAACTGGGCAGCCTCACTGCTCAGGCTGCAAGGATGGCCTAGAAATATGAGAATGGAAAAATGTATTTTTATAGTTAAACCCTCCTCAAGTTTACAAAGGATTTAAGGCATTTTTGCAAGCATCCAAGACAACAAATAAGAAAAATGATTGCTGAGAGGCACACACATTGTGAAATAATTTAGAAATAGTTCTGGATGTGCTGCTTCTCCTGCAGTTTCTAAACTTAAGTCACAGAATTATTCTGGAGCTACCTGGCAGCTGAAGCAAGAGAGAAACTGCTAACTGTGTGGCACGTGGGAGGAATAAGCCACTGCTGGTCCCTGGGAAAGGAGTTATAGCTGCTCATGTTACTTTGGCATGGACTGGCGCTTCTCCACCAAACCAAGTCCAGGGAGAACTTCACCCCCTCAAGCCTTTCTCCTCACTGTTGGGGCCATATTCGCTCTAGGATTTTATACACACTGACAAGTTTTGATGCATATCACCAGCCCAGAACCTCACTAGCCCTCTAAAGCCTGTCACTCCGTATCTGGCACTCACCCTCTCAGTTATGGATCCCCATCTCCATCCAAATCATTGCCTCCCTTTCTTGGTTGTCAGAGCCTCACTGATCCACAACTGACCTGTTAGACTTCCAATGTCCTTCCTGTCCAGCCTGGGAAGGATCTCACACACTCACTGCTTGCCCCCCATGACCCTGGCATAGGCCCAGACTGCTGTGCTGGGGGTTCACCTTCATGCTCTCTGTCCTGTTTCACTCATTCTGGTTCCTATCAATTCTGGCCAAAGTTCAATCATGTCACCATATTACTCAGAAATCCAGTTGCCCAGGTGCAGCCTTCATGTAATGACCATTATATACTTTATACCGTGTCCTTTATACTGTGATTCCCGTGAACAGATACACTTGTTTGCAGAACTTTACATACCACATAATATGTGACACACACCAGGGTCTTATGTGGGAGATGGGGAAACTTTTCGTCTTTGGCCAGGTGAGTAGCCCTTTAGGATAGTCCCTCTGTGTCCCTTTGTATCTGCTCCTCCACATCTGTTTTTACAAAAGCAACTTCTGGTCCATATGCTGTGTTGTTCCATAGTTACCCTTACTTTCTTTGCTTTCTGCCTGACTCAGGCCTGGGTGTGGCAGTCACTCACCCTTGCTTGGTATTACCAGACACCATTACCATGAGTGCTAGAACAGTCTTTCCCAGCATCCTCTCTGACCAGGAGCCTACGAGGGCAAGTTTTTGTTGAACATATCTCCACATCCTCTGGGGTCACTGTAGAACCTGGGCTCTAGTTACAAGTGCAGGGATGTGAGTTAAACAACCACAGAATGAGCTCAACCCTGCTTCCTGCTGCAGGACCTGTAGCCTTGGTGAGACATAGACCCTGCTGTCTTGGTAAAGAAGTCTGGGATACCATGAGGGATGAGTGGTGCTTGTGTTCAGAGTGGAGGGTGTTAGAGTTGCTCAGATGAACTGTGCACTTGTACTTGGAACCAATCACAGAGGACTCATCCGCTGGAGTGATGACACTCCTTCCAAGATCCTGACAATGATCACACTTCACTAGTGGGCTCCTGGAGATGTCCCACAGATGTGTCTTAGATGCGCAGCATCAAGGGTTTCCTTAACAAACCTTCAGAATGCAGAACACCAGTCCTTCAGACATAAGCCCCCTGGGAGCTAAGCAAGGGCTCAGTGAAGACCCCGCCATAGGGTGAGGGTAAGCACACAGAGCTCTTCCCTTCCACTTTGTGCACCTGTGTCCTACAGCTGTCATGGCTTCCACTGAGCCGTAGTTCAGTAACTATAGGCAGTCTCTTGTTAATTCTCTTCTTTACAAAAATTGCAAGCATTGCTGGTTTAGTTCTCTTATTTGATTGATTAAACCTTTTGTCTTCTTAGGTGACACTCTAGGCACTGGGGCAACCTGCTGATGGCAACATTAATTCCAGGGAGTCAGGCCATGAGCATTTGTGCTTAGATGGCATTAGTAAAGAGTTTTTCCATCTATGACCCCAAGGACAGTAAAATACAGCTGCTCAACCCCATCAAGGCCTCTGTTACAAAAAGACAAGTGTTCCCTCTTGGACTGTCTTCTTGACATATGGAATCAATCGAAAAGTCCATCACTAATGAGTTAAATCACTGTTTGCAGGTGAAGCCCGTGACTCCAAAGGTTTGAATTCTCCAGAAATAATGGCTTCATCCACACAGCTTCTTCAGTACTGGTGTACAAACACAACCCCCACCAGGCTCTTCAAACTACTTTCTTTGTCCTGCTAACTCCTCTGTTTCTTAACAAATTTAACTGTCATCAAAAACATCAATTTTACTGAACATAAGACAAGAAGAGCAGTCTCCTTTTTATAGATTTTATTTAAAATTAAAAACCCATTATTTTTGCAAGATTCATCTCTATATATTCAAACATTTAAAAAACAGCTCTTATAAGCCAGGTTCTGGGTAAGAAGAAAGAAAATATAAAACACAGATCATAAAAACACCAGGTACAAGGTGGGAAGTAGATGAAGGTATAGACTATATAAGAATGGGAGAATATTCTGACCATGGCAATGCTATTTGTGTGTGTATGCAGGGCGGGGGGGGGGCAGTGCTTCTGTGTATGTGAAGGTTGACATCAGGCAACTTCCTCAATGACTCTCCACTTTATTATTGCATCCTGGGGATTGAAAACAGGTAAGTGACAAGTGCCTTTACCTGCTTATCTTGCTAGCCTCTCTCCACCTGACTTTTTATATTGTCTCTCATCGCACGATAGCTCACCCACTGTTTTAGCTACATTGGCTGGCAAGCAAGCTCTGAGATCCTGCTGTATTTCCTTTCAGTCATGAGATGACAGGGTTGTGGCAAGGCCCCACTTTATGCTGGGGACCCGAAGTCAGGTCCTTATGCTTGTGCAGTGGGTGCTTTATCTGTTGAGTCAAAATGTGGTATTTATGTATGTTACACATGCCTTAAAAAGGAATCTGACACATGATACAGCATGGATGCACCTTGATGATACTATGTTGAGTGAAACAAGACAGTCAAGAAGACTGGTAACTATGAGTGATCAAAATCATAGAGAAAAGAGCAGAATGGGGGCCAGTGGCAGTTGAAGAGCTGTTCAGTGGGTTTCAGATTTAGACAATGATGAAGTTTGGGAGATGGAGATGGCTGCACACCCATGTGAATGTATTGAAGGACATGGGACTGCATTATAAAATGGCTAAGATGGGAAATTTTATGAAAAACTTAATTATGATTTTAAAAAATTGACAGAACATGGCAGGGTACAAGGTGATTGCTTATTTGGTTTTGGCTTGAAAATTTCCCTAATAGTAAGTCAGTTATTTTAAAGGAATTCCGCCAAGTTCAGGGAACAAACAACCACAGTGTGGAGTGGCACCTGATACACCAGAGGGCTAGGACTGCTTTTGCTAAAGGAACCTTTACAAAAACTTGAAGCTTTCCATTTAGTTTCTGTAAGGCAACTCAACATGGTAAAGAGTGAACATGCCATGGATTTGAAAGGCCTTGAACGCTAACCTTCCTAGCAGTCAAGTAATCTCTGGTAACTCAATCTGTCTTTCCTCCATTGGTGGTAATAGTGATAGTGGTCCCTCACAGTGTCAAAATGAAAACTGAAACAGATCATCACAGAGGGTGTTTCCACAATGGTTTTCCCACAAATAATAGTGGGTAGAGATTGGTCTTGCCTGTGACAAGCAGGGACCAGTGTAAAATGAACACTCTTGAAAATAAAATGCTTCTAAAATCTATTCCTTCCTTTGTTCCCCCCTCT